ACCATAACCAACGCACAAATAGAACCCATTACAATTAACACCATAATCTCCAAGAACATTGGAACACAATGTCATAAAAATACATGCGATCACATTGAAGTCAAGAAAATAAAATCATCTAAAGCTCAACATATGACTAATATTTATTGTCCTCAGAAACAAAATTAGCATTGATATAGTTTACAGTATAAACCCAAAAATAACTCGGTTTATATGGCAACTCAGCTTATGAACAATAAATTCAACCTCCTCTTTTATAGTCTGTAAAGGATGTAAATGATAAAGGAAATGATAGATAATACAGTTTCCATTGATCACTCGCCAAAGCATAGATTTCAAAAATAATAATGATAATAACACGCGCTGGTGCATACCCATCAGCGAACCCAACCTGCAATTCTGGATTCTGAGATCTCTGCAATTCTGGTGCACTCTATCATTCCGTTCTTCATCAGTTTAGAACTCCCGATAGTTACTCAGGCTATGCAAAATTTAACCTGTGCAAGCAAAAACAGAAACGGAATGAAGAACCCAGAGAATAGCATTTTCCATAACTAACCATTAGTAGATCATTTATTCAAACAAACTCCAGAAAACAATATGAATCATGAGTTGATACAAAAATATCACGTGAATTTGATGTTCTCAACAACCGGATAAATATAGCAACATTCTTAAAAGAAGCTAATTCACAAATACAGTAATGAGTAATGGAAATACCTATTTTGAATGAATCACAGTTCGACAGACGAAAATGCATTAAAACCACATCTTATTAGAACTACAAATTCTAAAATTCTTCCACATGAAAACTATAAGTTTCAACATAAATAGAACCTATACTTTCCGGATCAATATTGAAACGATCAAAGCAAAATCTCATTGCTAAGGGATTGATTTATACACTACAGATCTATCGAAATTGGGGTCTCTTGCTGAGATTTCATGATAAAGAATGTAAACACGTTTAAACAAGTAAAGAGCTGACCTGTGAAATTGACTGTACGGATAGGCTGATTAACGTCGGCTGCCGACGTAGAATATTCCGTCCAGATCCAAATCAAACTCCGGTGCTCTTAATTTTTCCTACAGAACCAAAGCATCCGTCCCGGAGACACCGTCGCTCGTCACCCGTCGTGCCTCCGTGGGGAAAGGAGACATGATTGTCTCTCCGTGTGAGACGTGTCCCCGTCTCCAGTCCTCGTCTGGCACGCAGACGCCGACGGTGTCTTTGTATTGGGCAATCAAGATGAAGATGATGAGGTTTTTGGAGGACGAAGCAGAGGAATCGGGTTGGAGAAATTAGGTATAAAAAATTGAGAATAACTTGAATTCAGAAAAAAGGAATGGTTAGAGAGAGAGTGTCAGAATGAAGGAATGGTTGCGTGACTCTTGCAGCAAAGTGATGTACTCAGAGTACAAAGCATGACTCTTGCAGTAAAAAGTAAGGATTGTACTCATCAGTGGCTCAGCTTACATGAGTAGGCTCGAAAACGGCTCGGCTGGGGTGGCCAGATGGCTTAGAAACAGTGAAAACAATCTTCCTCTTTTAATATTGTAGAGGATATATTTTTTTTAGGACAGGTTCTCTTTTACAACATGGAGACAAAAATAAAATATCCACTTCAAAGAAAATGAACAAAAGGACAAATAAGTCA